GAAAAAAAGCAAAACCTCTTCCCCAATGCAATATATTTTCTGACTTCCATTCTGAAGTTAAGACATTTTTAAATATATAGGTTGATTCAATTTAGCAATTTCTAGAATTCAGTGTGTCTGAGTAGCTATTGTTTTTTGTTCAGTAGCATTTAAAAATTCAAAGTTAACAAAACACCATACCGGGGCCAGAGAATCTGTTTTTTTTTTCTATATTTTAATGCCTTTTTCTATTTATATTACTTTATGCTCTATTCAAAGACTTTATTTTTAAACTATTTATCCTTTTTCTGACTATCTGTACTCATTTTCTTCTCCTTCTTCATCATCTAAGCACCTTTTTAAGCACACTGTTAGCTGTGTAGAGGTTTTTTCAGTCTGAATCTGACTTTGCTAAGTGCCTGTAGCCACACACCTGCAGCATTTTCTGAAGCATGAGTCAAACATTAAGCAGTGTGTTGGCCTTCCACTGCTAACACATGGCTTGGTGCCTGTCTCTGTCCTCCTGAGTTCCATGAATTTCTAGTCTTAAGCCAGTAGGTGCCAGGCCCTAAAGCCATATTTATGGCTTACCCATAAATAAGCTCTACCCCAGCACTGGAAATTTGTAGTGTTTGTCTGAGCAGGAGTTTGTACCCAGTGTAGGTTTCTTAAGTGCTCAACTGCACACCAGGGTCCCTGAAAAGAGCTTCTATGCTGAGTCTACCCAAGTGAATGCTTTGTTAGGCTCTATGCAAATATTCTAGTCCCATGTTAAGTGCCGTATGTAGTAGAACTTTTCCATCAGGACCCACAGAAAATGTTCCTCTTTTGGATTCACCTTATTACTTAGCTTCTCTAGGATCATGAACTATAGGATCAATGTCCTTTGCTTATCGCTAGTCTTCATTAATGAGTGAGTACATACCATATTCATATTTTTGGGTTTGGGTTATCTCATGCAGGAGAGTGTTTTCTAATTCCATCCATTTGCACACAAAATTCAAGATGTCATTGTTTTTTTTTGTTTGTTTGTTTTTTTAACCACTGAGTAGTACTCTAATGTGTAGATTGTCACATTTTCTTTTTCTATTCTTCCATTGAGGGGCATCTAGGTTGTTTCCAGGTTCTGGCTATTATAAATAATACTGTTATGAACATAGTTGAACAAATGCTTTTGTAGTATGATTGAACATCTTTTGGGTATATTCCCAAGAATGGTATTGCTGGGTCCTGAGGTAGGTTGACTCCCAATTTTCTGAGAAACAACCATACTGATTTCCAAAGTGGTTGCACAAGTTTGCATTCCCACCAGCAATGGATGACTGGTCCCCTTACTCCACACCCTCTCCAGCATAAGCTATCATTAGTGTGTTGTTTTTTTTTTAATTTTACCCATTCAGACAGGTGTAAGATAATATCTCAAAGTTGTTTTAATTTGCATTTCCCTGATAACTAAGGAAGCTGAACATGTCATTAAGTATCTTTTGACCATTTGAAATTCTTCTGTTGAGAAATCTCTGTTCAGTTCAGTACACCATTTTTAACTGGGTTATTTAGAATTTTAATGTCTAATTTCTTGAGTTCTTTATGTATTTTGGAGATCAGACCTTTGTCTGATGTGGGGTTGGGGAAGATCATCTCCCATTCAGTAGGTTGCTTTTTTGTCTAATTGACTGTGACCTTTGTTTTAAAGAAGCTTCTCAGTTTCAGGTCCTATTTTATATAGATTCACCTGGAAATTGGGAGCAGACAAAATTGCCTGACAAAATTTGGGAGCATGGGTGTAGGACGTATAAGAAAGGAGATAAGGGGAAGAGGAGAGAGAAGGGGAGGTTTGGTTTCGGTGAAAGTTTGCGGGAATGGGATAGTGGAAATGAAGGAAGGACGGATATGAGAACAAGGAAAGAGATATCTTGGTTGAGGGAACCATTTTGGGGTTAGCAAGAAGCCTGGCTCTAGAAAAATCCATAAAGATGACCCCAGCTAAGACCCTAAGCAATAGAGGAGGGGGTGCCTGAACTGGCCTTGCCCTGTAGTCAGACTGATGTTTATCTTAAATACCACCATAGAACCTTCATCCAACCAGCAGAAGGAGGGAGAGTATGAGCAAGGAAGTCAAGAACATGAGAGGTTCACCCACTGAGACAATATGCCTGACTTAAAGGAAGCTCACCAACTCCAACTGAACTGGGAATGAATGAACAGGCGATAAAACTAGTCCCTCTGAAAGTTGTTGAAAGTTGCTGCAAAATGAGGGGCCAATGACAATGACACTGGGATTTCTCTCTACTGCATGTACTGGTTTTTTGGGATCCTATTCTCTTCGGATATGTAGTGGAGAGGGCTTTGGACTTTCCACAGGGCAGGGTGCATTGCCCTCTCTTAAAATTGAAGGGAGTGGGAGGAAGATGTGTGGAGGGAGTGGGAGAGGAGTGGGAAGAGGGGAGGAAGTGGGAATTTAGATTGGTATTTTTTTAAGTAATAAAATATAATAATAATAAAAAATTATGTTTTCCACATGGCTCATTATCTCATTTCCATACTGCTATCCTCCTGCCAGTACCTCTGGCTGATAACTCCTCATTTCTTCTTCTGAGATGTCTCTCTGCCTGGGAGTCCCACCTACACCTGCCTAGCTATTGGTCATTCAGATTGATATAGCACCAATCACAGCAATACATCTTCACACAGTATATCATATTCCACAAGATGAACTGAACCTCCTAGGTAGGATATTTCTAGAAAAGTGCCAGCCCTTCTAGTGAAAGCAGTAAGGTACACGCCCTACTGGTTTCCAACAGATTATCACATCTCTGCCTTTGCAACCAAGAGTGGTACTATGACCATTGTGCATAGTGAGTGAGGGTGACGACCACTTATGACTTCTTGGAAAGCATAAGGTCTGAAAGGGAGCTAGATTGGCCTGCCAGGTCATCTTAGATCAGTGGTTCTCAATCTTCCTAATGCTGTGTCCTTTTAATACGGTTCCTCATATTGTGCCGTCCTTCAGTCATAAAATTATTTTGTGTTACTTCATTAAGGCAAATTTGCTACTGTTATGAAGCATAACGTAAATATCTGATGTGCAAGATGTCTGATTTGTGACTCCTACGAGGGATGGTTGACCCCCCCACAAGGGGCTGCAACCTACAGATTGAGAACCACTGCCTTAGAATATTTATTGTTTCCTGATGCTTTATTTTTAATTTGAGTTATGTTTTCCTTGTAAAGACTGTTCTTTTAAACCTAATAGAGTATTTATCCACTTATAAATCAGACTTGAGTCATAATTTATTTTGAAGAAGCAAATTGATACCATAATTTATATTTTTCTCTTAATGATACTTATTGCTTTTAGTGTGGGAACAGTGTAACAGTTCTATGCCTTCTAAAATATAGGTTGCAAGAACAACAATTCCATGGGAAGACGAATAATGACTTAGAAATTTTTTTTAACAAGAATGGAGCTTTCACTTAATGGTAATGATAGTGGGGTCAAGCTATCTGGGTCCCTGAGTTGAAAGCGAAAAAGGACAAAATTAAAAATAAAATATCAAGCAAGCTTGTAGTCAGTGAAGTATAAACTTAATTAGCTTCATAAAGATCTGCCTTAGATTGCGGCGGTAGTTCAGAGTTAGGGGACTTGCTCAACCCTGGCAACATTCTGACTTCAATTTCCAGAACCACATACATGTTCACACACAAAACTGCAAAATATTTGCTTCTTTTTACAATAATATATGTTCAATATTTGTGGTGGCTTTGATGGTTGAAATAGAGCAAATGTGGCGAAAGCAGTTGGCTAAAGCCTCTGCATGTCACTTTTACCAAGCTGTATAATGAGACTCATTGTCAGCGTAGAAAAAACATAAACACCATGAGAGATAGTGCATACTAAAATGCCTTTTGGTGGCAAAAGGAAGCCTCCTTAAATAGAGGGAATTCTAATTGTGTTGGAAATGTTAAGAATAGAGAGTTGCTTCCCGGTGCTTAACCATTGCCTATAATAGGCCAGTGAACACAAACTGAAACACAGGCAACTCTCCTTTTTGTTTCTGAGACTGTGAGAGGATTTTCCCAGTATTTAAACACATTCATATTCCTAGTTATATAAGTCCCAATACAATATCAATCAATCAGCTTTGTGGTGCCATATCCCCATCTTTGTGAACAGCTGGCCATTGCTTATTAAATCTGGCACTATCGTGAGAAAAGGAGAGCAATGACAATATTTATGCAACTGGGATTATTTTTTAAAAGATCATATCCACTTTATTACACGTCAATTTTCACTTAAATTAGGACTCTCCGACAAAAACCTTGCTGGCCACTCTTGGTCTTAACTCTGCTGTGTGAATTAAATTATGGTGAATACTAAAAGCCATAAGACATTTGCTTTGTAATAAACAAGACAATGGCTGTTACTCAGTAGTATCCTTTAAAGAAGGGCTTTAGGCTAATCCTTTCTCACTTCTAACTTTGGGTAAAGATGATTTTTGCTCAAGGGATATACATCTTAGGAAGCTCCAAATCCTCCATCAGTGTATCCTCTCTCCAGATGACACCTCTGGGTCACCTCTGGTTCTTGCTGGCAACTGGGTAAGAGAATCCAATTGCCTGACCCATCTTCTGCCCGAACAGGCAATGGAGATCACATCTAACCTTACAGTTGCTTCGCTTTTCTACAGCATGGCCCTGTGCACATGTCTGCACAACAATCTTCTTGCCATTCTCTACTTCACCCATTTTCAATTCGCTGTCCACAGCCCAGCACCAGGAATGCTGTGATCCAAAACTGAGCTGATATCCCAGTCTCTAGTTTCATTTTTTTAAATAGAGTATTGTGGTAAATGACAGCTAATGTTTTGTGGGTTAGACTCATGCTTAGTTGGGGGGTTTTAGACTTTACTGACACAGGATGAATGAGATGGTTACATAAGGATCCAAGTATGTCCTGCAGATCTCTTAATCTGTGGCCAGTCTGCAATCTTAGCTCAATCCCTGTTTTTTTTTTCTTTCAGATTCTGACATATCCTAGCATTATCTCTCCTCCAGAAAGTATTTCAGCACAGCTTCCAGGAGGTATGTGTTGTCAAGCTTCATGGAGCCTTGTTCTCAATATGCGTGTGTTAGTATTGACCAAGCACTCACAGTGGCTTCTCTGTCTCTCTGGTTCCCTCACTGTCAGCTCTTCCCTCTCTCTCACCCTGTGTTTAACCCGCAGCAGCCTCAGCATGTCTGTGATCTGATCTCAACTTACTCTGCCTACTGAGACTTGTGTTCTGTCTGTTCTTTGTTTTCCCAGTGCTACTGTTTAGAAAGTGAACCTGAGCCAACACCGATGAAATGCTCACTGCAGTTCTTCTTCGAGGATCAGAACCCTGTTTGGTAAGGCCTCGGCCTCAGAAGAGTTGCTGTGTGCATCTTATCCTTAGAGATGCTTCCCGTCGTGGGAGGCGAACTCATCATATCACATCATCAGACCTGATTTCCGACTCCAAACTGTACCCACTTCCAGCTTGGTGACCATGAGAAGGTTTCTCAGATTCTCTCTCTTGGTTAGACAGTCTGGAGGAAGATTACTGATTAACTCTGAGGCCTTTCACAATTCTGCCACTGTCCTGTGCTGCTAACTGCTGTTTTCACAGAATCTCTCCCATCTCTGTATCCTTTCACCGTGCACAAAAGCACTGTGGTTGATATAAATAATTAGCCTTTGCAATATGATTAGACTCTTTAGGGGGAAGTCTCTGACTCCCCAAGTATTTAGAATTCCATGTTGTGCACAATCTCCCCGAGAACAGATTTTGAGATATTCTTGACCTTCCTTATGCTTCTCTCTGTGTATAAGGGTTAGTGTCTTCCTCTGGATTTAAGAATAACCAGTAGCAAGCCCAACACATTAATTTATGCCTAAATATGATTTGTAGTTAAAATTTGAAGCGAGATAATTAACTGTTCAGTGGATCTGATTTTTGAAACTTTAGAACTTCTTTAAAATTTACAGACCTTGGCAATTATCTTAAAGTTTTTTTTTTAATTTTCACCTTTACTGGAGTGAATTTATTTAGAAATATGCTATTTATAAACTGCATTAATGCAAAGTAGAAATACTTTACAAAAGACTTATGGTGTATTTTAGGTGACATAGTTATAACACAGCAGCAGCCTTTGCAAACACATTTGCTTTTAAGTTGCCCCACTGATTATAAATAGCTCACTGAAACTGCTCAGCAATTATATTGAAATGTGACATCTCTTTTGAACAATGAAAAGCAGATATAGTTCTTGTTGATGTTAAAACTGTTCTTCTCTGTAAATACATTGTTCTTGATGTTCATAAATTGCTATGTGCTATACACAGTGGGAAAAACATAAAGAGGAAATGATCATCCATTTTTTAGAATAGTGGTAGGACTTGAGAAAAAGAAATTCAAAGTTTGTTTTAATACAGTAATAACTGGAGTTTGCTTTTTCAGAATCATAATGACACCCTTAGGCTGTGTCCTATTTACAAATCCATCTTACCTCGCAAAAGCTACTCATTGATCCATCTATCAATTTTGTTTTGTACTCTGTAATAAATGTTAAACAAATTGAATTATCAAAGGGAAGAAATGCTTAACATCTTCTAGTCTGAGTGACTACATTATATACAGTAATAAAATAGTAATTAAGATCAACTCATTTTTCCCTATTGTGTCTGTTTTCATACTCATGTGAGTATGTGGGCAAACGTGTTTGGGTATATGACTATGTATGGGTATATGTGCACGTATGACATGCTTGTGCGTAGAGGCAAGAAGACAACTTCAGATGTCATCCTCAAGAACAAAGCCTATGTTTCTGTGACTGGGTCTCGTATTGGTCTGGAACACACCAATTCAGCTAGGCTGACTATTGTGTGTGCAATGCCCAGAAAACTGTCTTTGTCCTCGTAATTCTAGGACCAGAAGTACATGTCATTGTATCTCACAGGTTTTTGTGGGACCTGAGAATTGACCTTAGATTTTTATGCTTACAAGGCAAGCACTTTTCACTATGCTATCTCAACAGTATTGATGCTCTCTGTCACGAATGATGTTTTAATTAGAATTTAAACTCTTGAACTGTTATAGAACTATGTGTGGAGATCTATCATCACCCAGCTGCCTGGCACAGTTTACCCTAGTAAGATCCTTTTCCACCTGATGAGAAAATGAAAATGTATTTGCAGCTCTATGTATGCACTCTATTTGACATCAAAGCCTCTACCTAGTCACTATTTTATTTTGCTAGGCTGAACACACCAATCAACACTGTCTAGTTTCTACCAGGGTTTTCAATTATCTTGACAATATCCTGTAGCACGAATAAAAAAAAAACAAAACCAGAGACAGATATTGGGGTTCAAGCTGAAGATCAGAAAAGCAAAACAGCCAAGTTACTAGAAAATTCTTACCTCTACCATGGATGAATGAATGGAGATTGAGCCTTGAGCCCCTCTCTTCCCCCATTTTAAATTTCTCTTTAGTCCTGGGGTTCAAGGTGTGAGCCACCACCACCTGGATCTGTTTCTGCATTGATCTTGTGTAGCCCTGGGTGGCATTGAACTCACAGAGATCCATCTGCTTCTGTCTCCCCAATCCTGGGATTAGAGGTGTGTGACACCACTGCCTGGCTTGTAGTGGCTTAGTTTTACCCTCTTTAGTTTTAGTTATTAAAACATAAATAAAATATTACTAATATCCTTCTACCAAACTCCCATTATCCTATGGTTGTGTCTGCCCTTGCATCTCTTTGATGCAGTGTAGATGTGAGTTTTCGTGGTTCTCTAGCACTGGCTAGGGCTTGGAGCAACACAGGATGTCATGACGAAAAGTAAAGCACTGATCATCTGTATTCAGGTATGATTTGATTTTCTTAAGTGCCTGGAGGCAGGCTCCTAAAGATGCTCTTCTTAAAACTCATTTCAGTTTAGCTCTCTCTCTCTCTCTCTCTCTCTCTCTCTCTCTCTTTCTGTATGTGTGTCTGTGTGTTTGTGTGTGTGTATATCTTCAGTATATATTATGCTCATGATACATTTGCTGATGTTAGATAGATTCTGACTGAAATACTGACCTCATACAAATAAAGTCCATTTTCAATACAACTTATTAACTAATTAACTTGGAATTCTTAGGCACATACCAGAACTTTGAAAGACTGTGAGTGACTAACTTTCCTATGATTTAGTCCTATTTTAGCTACACTTTTTCTCTGGTGAAACAATCTCCTTCAAACACAAACTTACCTGAGATATTGAACTATGAGTTTAGAGAGGATTTAAAAGGCCGTTTGAGCAGCAATGATGTGCAACGGAGTCCAAATGGCTTATTTCATGGAGGATTAAAAACACCCTAGAGCACACATAGGGTTCTCTCCACACTGAACCAAAACAAAGCAGTGGATTAAAAAAAATTAAAAAGGAATGAGAGATAGTAACAGGCAGAGAAGCTCATAACTTGTTCAGGCCCAGAATACAGGATGTTACATACATATATCAAAACTTTTGTCTAATTTAATCATGTGTTAACAATGGTAAGATAGAATCACTAAGACCTTTTGAATTATACACTTTGTTGAAGAAACTGTATGAATGTGATAAATGTGAATTTGTTTTAAAACGATTCTTCTCCTAAGTGTATAGAACATAAAGTAATACTAATAGAAATATTTTAAAAAACTGAATGAATAATCAGCATTAGTTTTCATGACTCATTGTTTTGGATGAGACCTATAAGTCATGCTTTGCTCCCTGTTTCCCATCAACACCATGAATATGCTAAGTCAGTCATAGTTTTATAGGCACAACTGTTATGAGTGTACAGCCAATAGACCCAGGTATTCTGCCTCAGTTCCTTGTCAGCTAAGTTTTTCAGCAAGAAATTTAGCCTGTACCTGGTTTTCCTTATTGATATGTGAGAGTAATAATAATCATTCTGCAATAAAACAGAAGATTACATTTTACATGCTAAAAGTAACACCTAAAAGATGCTTTCTGAATAAATAATTGTCATGAAATATAGTGAAAATTTGAAAGGTTATAATTATCCTTAAGTATTTCTACCTATTAGTAGATCTATTGACCAGAGATTGAAAGAAGTTCCGTGTAACAAGTGCACTTAACTATTATTTTGAATACCAATTTCTCTATATATGAAATGATGACAAATAAAGAGATTCCCTCTTGTAAGAGAAGTGTGGACATTCTAAAGGCAAGGGCAATATGGCCTGGGAGAAAAAGAGTTCTTACCTGAAGTCATGAAGATGCTAGGTTGTTGATGCCTTTAACATACTACTCTGTGGCTGTGAAGGTTCCTTTTGGCATGCAAACATTTTTCTGGACGTTTCTACCCTTTGTTTTCTCATTAATTGAAATTCAAACAAATCTGACACTTTAATTTGTGAGTGAGAATCAATGAAAAGCAGACCATAGGAGAATAAATGGCTAATAATGTGCCCTTTCATTTAAACACCAAACATATGACTAATTTAGATGAAACTGGAAGGTGATTTTTACAGGAATAGAATGTGGATCAGTGTTAACATCTCCCACTCAACCTTGAAAGCACATTTGCCAATGCTGCTAGATTCAGCCATTATTTTTCGTCAAAATAAATCACCTTTCGTCATGCTCCTTTCTGGCAGTGAGCTTGCCCAGCTTTCACCTTGGCTTGACATTTCAATCATACTTGTTTATCTGTTTCCCCATTCTCTGTAATCATTAAAGCATTAACTCTGTCAAGGCTGTTTTTCCCATTTCTCATGCCTAGCCCTTCCATTTTCGCACATATGCCTCCGGCCCTTGTGCTGTATACTAACCAATGAGAGTGCTCACGATGTTTCTGCTGGTGACCTGGCTCGCTTCTCTCCTTTGCCATTGAGCTGCACACATTTCAAGCGGGATCCTTAAGGTCTGGCCAAGGCACTCTTGCTATGCTTTCCCACGTTTTCCTTTTGATTTTCTAATTTCTTTGCCCTTCCCTAATTGGGTAATTTTAGGCAATATAGTAACAATCGGTTTTTTTTTAAAGAAGCCATGATTTGGAGGACAGTGGGGAGAAGTACAGAGGAAGGCTTGGAGGGGAGAATGGGAGAAATGTAATCCAGTTATAATTTCAAAAAAGATAAAGATTAAAAACAATGGAAAGACTATGTCTTTACCATTGGGAAAAACAGATAGCTCTGAAAGTTCCTGCTGCAAGAGAGTACTAAGGATGGTGATATTTTCCCAGATGATATTGCCTTCAGCATATTGTACTGATGGTAAATACTCTGAAGAACAAATTTATAAAACATAGTTTTAAGAAGGCATGCCGAACCTTGTATCAGGATCTAGAACTTCCAGTACATTTTTCCCATCTTATGATTTAAAAAAATTATATGAAATTTAGACTTAACAATTTATTTACCTTTTTATTTTTTATTTTTGCTTTCTTTGAGACAAGATTCCAGCTCTGGCTGCCCTGGAACTTGCTTTGTAGACCAGCTGGCCTCAAAAACAGAGACCCGTCTGCCTCGGCCTCCCCAATGCCAGAATTAAAGGTGTGGACCATCACTGCCTAGCTTAGATTTAATAATTTTAAGTACACACTACAGCACTTCTCACTACAAGTATGATATCATGCAGAATGAAAATCCTTATGGATTTTTATTTTCCCTGACAACTCCGTACCCATTGAACAGTAACTCCCTGTTTTCTCTTCCAATCATTACGGGGCAACCACTACTTCCCCTTCTGTTTCTATGAGTTTGATAGCCTTAGTCAGCTCACGTAGGTGCCATGAAGTATGAGTCCACTGATGGCACACTTACTTACTTTGTGTAAAGTCCTCAAGGTTCTCGGTTGTACTACAGAAAGCGCTCCCTCATTTTACTACCGAATAAAATTCTATTGTATGTTGTATAAATTTCCCAATCTATACACAAATTGATGGGCATGCAGGGTTTCTACACCTGTAGGATTGTGACTAACGCTGCAATGAATGTTGGAATGAAAACATCTTGCAATCCTGACTTCAAACCTTTTGCGCAAATATCCCAGTGAAACATTGCTGTTTTATATAGTAGTTCCATCTTTAATTGGAAGAATACCATTTATCAAAGCTAAACAATTATCTTGTTGTTTATTAAATTTTTTATGTAGTCTTTGAGAAAATGGACATCCCAACAAGTAAGAGGAATATATTATGGTGTTTATTTGCAGTTTGTTGGTAAGTAGTGTTCAATATTTTCCTGTCTATTCAATGACCATTTGTGTGTCTTCTTCGGCAAAGTTTCTAATCCAGCCCTGAACCTGTTACTAGTAACCCGGTGTGTTGGTTCTGAGTAGTAAAGATTTTCACACACACCTTCTGGCCTTTCACTCCTTGTCATATATGTAGTTTGCAAATAATTTCATCATTGTGGATTGTCTCTTCACTCTACAGGTTTTTTTCTTTCCTGTGCAGAGACATTTTTTAGTTCAACGGAGTCTTGCCTCAATTTTACTTTACAAAAGCTTCTGCTTTTGACATTAAAACCACGAACTCTGCCAAGACCAATGCTGTGCGGCTCCTCTCTTCCACTCTATATTGAAAACATCAGAATTTACATTT